GGTTCCCATGGAGATTGAGGTTGTGGACAAGCAAGCTTGTCAGACTTTTGACGAATGCGTGTCGGATTCAGATGACATGGAATCTTTGTTATCAGCTTAGGAGATGAGGGAAACATGTCGTTTGTAATGATTCATTGTATGTAATGCTATGGGCTTTTGTGTCTGGATCTGGAAATGTAACTATATGATAAGTGGGATCATGGATGAAGACAAAAATGCGTCTTCGCTGTTGCATACCTTATGTCTTTCTCGTCATTCCTGGCCAGAAGAACATCTAGTGGCTGTTGAAGTTCTAAGTAGTATGTATTCATCAGCAACGTCACGATTTACTTGCGCGCTTCTTTTCATGTTTGTCCATATATGTTTATACTTTTTCCCATTTTCCGATATGTCCTCAGATGTCCTCCCACATGAACCTTGCCCTGACCCCGTGGCTGAGCCACGGTGGCTTCGACTCGGCGAGTGCAATGCGACCGAGCGTTCTGGTACTTGCAAACCCCAACGTTAAAGGCCAGCTGGCAGCTGCCATTGTCATTGCCTTCTCCTTTGGGCCATTCTCCGGGCTTAAAACGTTCAGCAACCTCCACCTGAAACGGTATGATTCTCTGTGATGCCCAATTCTGCCACTTGTTACCTTTTCTCAGAGACCTGCTCTGATACAGGAGCGACTACGCCATCCACCAGAGCCATGGACATTGGTACACCTCCGAAGGCGAAAGTTCGAGTCGACGCCGTCACAAAACAATTAGACAGTAAACAACGCTGCCTCATTACAAACGTCGAGTGCGACGAAGTGACTGAGTATGCCCACGTCTTGGGGCATGCTTTGGAGGACAACGAGGACTTGGTGAGTCACCTGTTGGAGCCCTTCGCAAACACGGTGATGACAAGTTGCTAGATGGCCAGGCTTGAGTTTTCATGGAGTAAGAAATATAGAGCCCAGAATATCCATACTCATGAAAACATATTTCGGCGTAGGGCTCATCTTTCGTGTTTCCGATGTCTTGCTGAATATCAACACTTTTAGTGAGCGCCAAATTCCACCATCTTTTCGACAAGAACAAATGGCTTTTGCTCCCCGAAACCCGCATTTTAGATCGATATGAAAGGGCTTATAGAAAGCCGCACTTGTTTCCTAAGATCGAGGTGAGATTGATTTCTGCTCGTAGAGGAGCTGAACTTACGCATTTATTGTCTTTAGAAAGAGACGTACAGGTATAGACTTGTTGCTCACCCTGATATGAAAAATGTCCCCATTCATCGAAGGGACGAGACGCTTCCGAAATCTCCCAGTGCTTTCCAGACGTTCGTCTATCCATTTGAAGGGTTTCCCACAATTGTCTCTCACGTTCATCCACGTTTCGCAATCCGCAACGCTGCGCTTAAACTTAAAGGCCGCGAGACGGTCCATGCCTTTGCTAGAGGAGAAGAAGGAGCGTTGTATGATGCGCTCGTCAAGATCATCAGCATATACGAAGGGTGGTCCAGTGTAGATCTCCCAAATGATTTTCGTAAAGAGAGAAATGTACCCAAGTTTGAGCCCCGCGACAAAATTCACCAGGGAGTCAAAAGGGATGTTCCAACGAATGTCCCGGATGCTGAACATTCAGATGACGAGGGCGACGCTCCTCCCACCATTGCCGCAACCTCGGCTTATCGCAGTGTACGGACTTACTGTTTGGCAAACGAAACACCTGCCGACCGAGCGGGCGATTTCGATCTCAAGAAAGCGAAGGCTAGAGTCGACACTGTCGCCGCAAAACGCTGCCTCATTGAGATACCGACGAGACCAACGNCCTGGAGTATGCCCATCT